GTCCCAGAACCACGACCTTCTGCGCCGTTTAGACAAGTTCGACTATCATGGGTCGGAAAACAGATCAACCAAGTTCTTCGACAAAGATTCGTCGATCCCACGTCAGGAGCAAGCTGCCGATCGGTCCCTTGGTCTGCGGTCCAAAATAGCCAACTCTAAACTCGGATGTACCAACATTCGACGACTCAGTGGTCTGTGGCCCAGACGCTCCGAGGACGCACCGGAGAACACGCGGCTACGCATACGGGTCCAGTCTAAAGCGTGGGACAACCCCTTTACGAGCTCCGCTGTACCGAAGTATGCGTGGAGTATGCTGTCGGGACTCAGCATGAACGACATTTCCACGATTTCTGCTGTCGCATTGCCAGTCTCTAAGGAGGAGATCAGTAAGATTGGCCTGCGTTTGACATTTGCTAGGATCCTCGCTAGGGAGAAAGGGCTAGAACCTCAACTTGAAGCTCTCGACCCCTCTATCTCCGGGACTCGGCCTGCGGGCACGCCCTCCTCGGAGGTCAAGCGGGTCTACCCCATGCGTCATGACCTCGTTGTGCTGGGAGATGACGGGGTTGGAAAAACGGAGCTGGTAAACCAGGTATGTCCATCGGCTGAAAACTTTATGTCAGTGAATCGTGGCCAACTGGACTGCATGACTGACGACCTAGCTGCGCAGTTCCTCGGCCCCTATGTCGAAGACTTCGACCCAATCCTAGAAGATACATCAGGCCAGAAATATGTTGTTGTCGACGGACAGCCGTGCGTCATGCACCTAATCGACTTCACAGGCAATAACTTGAAAGAATACATGGCGTTATGTGAGATGTATATCCGCACTGGGGATGGGTTCGTGATCGTGTACTCCGTCACCAATCGCAGCTCCTTTGAGCAGGTGCTGGAGCACTATATGCAGGCGATGCGGATGGACAACTTGAAGTGGCCTCGAGCTGCACCTGCCAGTTCCAAAGGTTCGCCCGGACCAGGATCAGAAGCGCTGCCTGTCCAGGACCCGATGGTCAATCGAAACAAGCCGGTCATCCTAGTCGGCAACAAGAGCGAAGAGACTGCACTGCGGGAGGTATCTTTCGAAGAAGGCCAGACCCTGGCTTGGGAGCTAGGGTGCCAGTTCATTGAGACCTCAGCCAGGGACCTCGTCAATGTCAAAGAGACGTTCCGCGATCTTGTGCGGGCGATCCGTCAGACGTCTTAAGGCCCGTGCTGGTAATCCGTGCTTGCTGTAATGGTTGTCTAGTTCGTGAAAATTTATTTATGAGATTAATTTAGGTTCAAAGAACATGAAAAGCTGCGATTATGCGTGGAATCCTCAACGGTAGGTATCTTTGTCTGCCGACTGACTCGCGGTTTGATTACGCAGGTCAGTTTACTTCCATAGAGGTAGGTGTCCGAGTCTTGAAGAAGACTGGAAGTGGTGTATTCGGGGTCATGATGTTTGGTAGGTACAGTTGTTTGTGAGGAATCAAGTCTGAAGCGGGCTAAAAGGCTTTTGCCAGAGCCCCGCTTATTTCATCACTGGGCCAGTTAGCCACCGTTCCTTCCTTCAGTTTTACTGGTGTCAACTTTGATTATCTTTGGAGAAACAGGCACACGAGCCACGCTCGCGCCACGCTCTGTATTTATAACCCGGCCAATTGCGGGTAGCCGCCGTTGGTGCCTTGGTGGGCATTGGCGCCGAACCTGAAACTGCGACTGGCCCTTTCCACGGACCCGTTGCGGCGGAGCTTTCAGACTTCTATTGGCCTTTCGCTCAGGCATCATGAATGCAGTGCGCAGTGCACAGTGCGCGTCCTGCAGGCCTAGAGGCGGGACCTGAGGCTGAAGCTGGAGCCCAACCTGCGGCTGCCAATCACGTGGGATGGATGGGCTGCGACCCCGTTTATTTCATTTTTATCCCTCCAGGCTCCAGGGCCAGGCTCCAGGCTCCATCTCACGACAACAAACGCAACTTTCTCCGTTCTTCCCAACCTGACCTTGCAGTCGCATCCAAACCTAAACCTTGACTTCGATTGACTTGTTCCTCCACCAACCGCAATCCGCACGCAGCCGTTGCACATAGAGTTCAACTTGCAGCACCCAGCCCCCCTCAGCTCCACCGTTGCTGTCGCAGTCGCAGTCGCAGTCGCGCTTTGCTATTGCCATTGCCATCGCAGTTGCAGCCGCAGCCCCGGTTGCATCACCTTACTTGCCTCTACAATGAACGGTCACGGCTCGCAGCCATACGGTGGCACCCCGCCGTTGACGGGCTCCTTGTCCCACACTTACGTGAATGAGCTTAATTCCCATAACCATGGCGTTCAAGACCAGGACCCCGCCATCAAGTACCGGGCCCCTCTCGTGGCATATCAAAAGCACCAGGAGGAACGCCATGCCATTGAGGATAACCTACTCGAGTCCTACTCGTCCCTTGTCATCGCCTATCGCGAGAAGTTTGCCGAGTGCACCCGCGAGAAGCGCAACGCCGCCATGTGGCAGAAGCAGCACGGCATCCTCGAGAAGGCCCTAGAGCATTCCCATAGGGCCTTAGAACACACCGAGATGGAGCTACAGAGTATTAGATCAGCCACCGTAAGTGAGAGACTCCCCGGGCTGTGCTGAGCTAGTCCGCATGGCACACGCCCAGTTTGGCTTCATGTTCATGTTGCTGACTCTGCCCCTCTCACACCTCGTAGGATTCGGACCCTTTTGCTTTTGTCATCATTGACGGCGACGGGGCCGTCTTCCACGAAGACCTCATCGCGAGAGGCGAGGAAGGTGGCGCTGAGGCGGCCCACCAGCTTCAGAAGGAGATTAAAGACTTTCTTCATCAGCACGGACTCGATACCGACCTCATCTTTGTCCAGGTCATCCTCAATCTCGAGGGCTTGAACAAGGCCCTGTTAAGCACAAACACCGTCAAGAGCTCCGATCCCAACATCCTAGCCAAGTTTGGTCGAGGCTTTGGTCGGGCCCAGTCTTTGTTCTCCTTCATCGACGTTGGATTTGGCAAGGAACAGGCCGACAACAAGGTTCGAAAGATATATGAGTCCATGGAGAAGAACTCTCACTGCAAGTGCATCATCTTTGGCGGCTGCCACGATAATGGCTACGCAGCCTTCCTAGAGCCTTTCCGCAGCCAGAAGACGTGCCTCCTCGAGACGACCCCGACCGCAGCCGAGTTCAGAAAGTTCAACTTCACGCGTCTTAACTTTGACAACGTTTTCCGCTCCGAGCCTCTGCTCACTAAGCCCGTTCCCCCTCCTCCTGGATTCGGACTCACGCCCTTCCCACCACCAGCCGCGAGAGTTACCAGCCCGGTTACCGAGACGGCCCCGAAGTCAACTACTCCCGCCGGCAACGAGCCAGGCGTCGTAGCAATCAGAACGCATAAGAAGGAGGATTCGGATGGCCCACCGCCGCCATCCAACAACACTTATGCCGCCATCGGGAAGCTAGGAACAACCGGGGCGCAGACCATCGACATCTCCAAGACCAAAAAGACCAGCCCGAACCGGCCTTACCTCCTGCTCAACAGCAAGAACCAGCGCGTGGACATCCCCCTGCCCAAGGTGGACTACAACGCCGCCAAGAGCCTGGAGGAGAAGAAAGCCAAAAACGGCACCAACTTTTGCAACAAATACCACCTCACACAGACCTGCACCCAGGAGCACTGCAAGTACACCCACGGCCCACGCCTCGTCGGCCCGGAGCTGCTGGCTCTGAAGCACAAGACGCGCGGTCTGCAATGCTCGGGCGGGCTGCAGTGTCGCGACGTGTTCTGCACGCTCGGCCACCATTGCCAGACCCCGGCCAACTGCTCGTACGGCGACCAGGACTGCCGGCTGAGCAATAACCATGCCGAGCTGGACATTGTGAGTGCCGGCTATTTTTTCCCCAGAGAGGACATGGATAGAATCTGTTTGGACATGAATTGTCTGCTAACGTCTGGACACGTATAGACCCCGACTCTCCGAGTTTATGACGACGGAATGAGAGAACTTATCCAATAGACACTCACACAACTTTTAGTACGATTATATAGATAGCGGCTGCGGTGGTGCAAGTCGGCGAGAGGACGTGGAGGAGGTTATGGCAGCCTGGAGTCGTTGTTGGTGAAGATGGTGGATGTCGGTCTTTATTTTGTTGTTGATATGCTGGGGATTTTACGTCAGATTGTTGCTGATGGTCGAAGAGTCGGGGATATGTTGTGGCATGTCGGGTATATGGGCACCGCGTGGTATACGAGAAAGCGGCGGTATTCTGAGTGCCTTGACACAAATGAAGGGAGGGGACTTTTATTTTGACTTTTTTGATAAACGGTCATTACTTCTGGAATTGGCGGTTTGTTTTGACGGAAAGGCAAGGGGAGAGGAGGAGGGGGGTGTGTGTTGGCGGTTGTTTTGGTAGATTGATTCAGCTGTCGGTGGAGTTGAGTGAGTGGATGCTGCTTTGGCGATATAGACAGTTCCTGACAAGTTCTGCCTTGGTGCGGTGGCCCGGTTTGATAGTTTGGTACCCCATACACTGCCATAGAATGCAAAATAACTTGCGATATATTCAAACAAGACAATTTACTAAGCCATCCCACAAACCCAGCGGGTCAGAAGCTGTTGAAAACGGGAAAGGAAGAAAGGAAGAAGAATGGGAATGGAACTGGATACCTCCTTCAGACAAGAACTCAGAAACACCAACCTAGATGGATCGGCTGGTAATCACTATCTCTGTTCATTACCAACAAGAAACCACGTACCTGCCTGGCACGTACCTGCCTGGCAGGTATCTGAAAACACAAACAGCACCGATGTTAATGGTGAGAGACACCCAGCGGACAAGACCAAACAACTGCGCTGCACTGCATCAAAGAGACACACGAAAAAGAAAGAAGAGGAAACAACCAGGGGGAAAAGCTAGGAGAATAAAAAAGAACCATAGAACCAGAACCAAGCTCGAAACCTCCCAAAACACAGTGTGTCAAATATCAAAAAAGCCAAAAGATAAGCTTCAGTTGCTAATGAGAAGGGTGGGATTTGAACCCACGCCTCTTACGAGACCACGGAATCATGTTTTCCTTCCGACCCGCGGAGGAGGGGAGAAGGAATGAAGCATCAAGGATATCTCCTTAACGTGGCGCCTTAGACCGCTCGGCCACCTTCCCAGGTTGATTTGGATGTTGTTTTTGAGTCGGTGGTTGTGGTTATGTGTGCCACATGTGATGGATGTGGGGATAGGGTTCTAGGGTCTTCTTCTGACGCGAGTCAGTGGCATGCAGACAGGCATGGGGCTGACTGGACCTCGGCTTGGTGGTTGTGGATCCTGGCTGCTTGTGTTGGTGTCTAGCCTGGGTCGTCGGCGTTGCTGTGTCGTGCGAAGGTGCTTCTTTGGGGTTTAGTTCCTGCGTGGGAAGGTGCCGTTGGTTGGGGATGGCTCACACTTCCAAATCGGAAGAGACAGAATGAGAGAAGATGGACTGAAGGAGTGGGACCAAAAGTTTAAGAACGCGACAAACAATCAATCGCTTATAAGTGAGCGGCATACGTAGAGTTAGGGAGGCGGGTATTGATAAGTTGTTTGATCTCGACAAAGATGAGTGTAGATTCCATTTGCTCTGGCTATCGAGACTAACAGTTCAGCAATTTGCTGGTAAGATGGTTATCCATACTCGTACGAATATGTACAGTGAACAAACAAAAAAGGTTTTGAAAGAAGAAAACAGAAGGGTAGTAAACGTGAAAGCAAAAAAACCCCTTGAGCAGGTACAAAACCAAAAGCCGCCCAAGTCCCAACCCAACCAAACCCAGCCAAACACGCTGTGTCAAAAGACCTTGAATCGAATACCCCAAAAGCAGAAACAAAACGCCAAGCTAGGTAAAAAATCAAATCAAGCAAACCTGCGGTTGACAATATCCTCAGTAAATTTCCACACATGAGAAGCATGGTGTCCCGAGAAAGCAGCACCAGTATACCACGTGCTCCTGTATCCCTGCAGACCATCAAGCTTGGTATAAAAGCCGCTCGAGATCTCGCCGGCCGAGACACGCAGCGAGAAGGGCGTGTGGCTGGAGAAGGCGAGCAGCTTGACGGGGGGCAGGTGCTGCGCGACGGTGGCGCCGAGCACGGAGCGGCGCACGCGCTCAACAGTGGCAATGATGTCGGCCTTGACCAGCATCTCGGGGTAGTAGTCCTCCTGGGCGCCGTAGTTGACCTGGTAGATACCCGCCACGGATGTGGGTGAGATCTGGTAGAGAGCGGGCAGCTGGGGCAGCGAGTAGGTTGCCCCCGGGGCCATGTTGTAGAACTCGTCGCCTGGCGCAAAGCCGGTTACGTTGACCATGCCGACGAAGTAGCCTTGGCTCTTGAAGGAGGAGAAGAGTGGGATCTCGCGGCTGTCGAGCAGGAGCGGGGCCATGTTCTCGAGGGTTGGCGGGGCGGAGATGAGGAGCTTGCTGGCCTTGATGGTCTGGAGGCCGGTCGGGGTCTTGAAGTCGACGTGGCGCGTGTTGGACTGCGGCGCCATGGACGGTTGCACCTGGATCAGCGGGATGTTGTAGAAGCCGAAGAAGCGGCGGATGGCGGTCTCGTCGCCGCCAAACACTTGCACGCCAAAGTTGATGGGCGCGCCGGTGCCGGGCACGGTGTAGGTTGACGTGTGGCCGCCGAAGTTCTCGCGCTCCTCGACCACCACGACCGACTTGCCCATCTCGCGGAGGCGGAGGGCGGCGTAGAGACCCGATGCGCCGCCGCCCATGATGATGACGTCCTTCTGCACCACTGTGTTCCAGCCCAGATCGCGGGGGGAGACACAGCTGGACCCGGAGCATGCGTTGCTCGCGCTCGCCTGGGCGAAGCCCAACATGGGGAGGGCAAAGGCCAGCGACGCGACGCCGCTGGACACCATCTTGGAGAGATGCATGGTGTCTCTACCTAATTAGTGGAGGAGGAGGATGAGGAGGAGGAAGAGATGGATGGAACGGTGAGAGAGATGCGTGGTGGTTTGCATTGGCATTGGCATTGGCACACTGCAGCCGCATCGTGGGTTATATACACCGTGATCCCTCAAGGCCATCCATGATCCATCGCCTACTGTATCTGTTGATTAATTACCCAGTACCACCTCACCACTGCTGCACGACAAAATAACATAAGATCCGATGCAAGGCAATCGGGCTAACAATGCACGAGGGATGACGGGCGATACCACCTCACCCCACGACCCGGGGCGCCATAAACCCATAACCCACACGTGCACATCCCTACGTGTGCATAAATGGATAGATAGATGCATTGGCTAGCATCAATAGTGGCTGTAGCCTCGGGGTCCAGTCAGTAGCCAGCCCATGATGCAGCGGCGACTACTAATTAGTATGACGGTCCTGATCTAGATCATCCCAGTGCTACACGTGTGGTATACTACCTGGTAGGTAACACAAAGATCAAACGATGAATCCATATCCATGCATCAACCAGCCCAGAACGTTGCACAAGAAGAAGAGCCATGGTCCGAATGGGAACCTAGAGTAATGTTCCCAGGCCCAGGACAAGGACAGGCTCCCCCTCCACCCGCAGCAGGACGGGCTCCATTCGTTATGTTCTTTCCTTTTTAGCTCGAACCCCCTCCCAAGGGAACTCCATCGGCCGCACCAAGCATACCCGGAAGCGCCACTGTGATACCGTCTAGTGCCGTCCCGTATGATCCTGATAATCCCGCTTTGGGTGGGTGGCACTGGGGTGTGTCTTTTTTCCCCGGCCGGGTCGGGTTAGACGGATTCGCGGCTCGTCCCCGATGCGATGCGATGGGCGGGGCCGGGGGAAGCGTTGTCCAACACATGGTTGTTTAATCTCGTTGGTTGGTCTTGGCCTTTTTGGTTCAGGGTAGCCAATACCACCCCCGCTGTGGAGTTTTGCTAGGCAAAGGCAGGGCAGGCAAGCAAAGTCTCGACTTTTGTTTTAATCGAACCAGACCAGACCAAACCAAACAAGAACAACCAAAAAAGAACCCTATACTAGCGGCCACTTGTTCCCCGCCGGGGACTAGCGGGACGGGCTTAATATGTTGCGTTTCTGGCTGCCACATGGCAAATTGGCAATAACGTGGGCATTCCTGCAGGCAGATCCGAGCAGAAAGCGTGTGCGCGTGCGTGCGTTGCCGTCTTTTGTCTGTGCATTGCCTTCCCGCGACAAAAACGTTTTTTTTTTTTTTTTTTTGAGTGGAAGGGGGGGGACGGGTAAAACGACAAAAAGTCGCCGACGGGGTGCGTGCGGTGCGGGTGGAAGACTCGTGGAAGGAAATAACACGAGGAACACACGCACAGACAAGACAGGGTCGGATCCGCAAGACAACCCTACCTGGGAAGGAAATCCAATCCCCCCGCACCACACACGAGAACGCCACTCTCCAACCGAACGAACAGCACGATGGCGGGATCGATCCTGAGTGGAGGTTGGAGGGGCCTCGGGTGGAGAGTTGAGGCGGCGCGCAGCTTTGGGGGGGGGGAAAGGGAAGGGTTCAGGGGTGTTTGTTTACTACCTAGGTCTAGCCCGCCTGCGACTCGGAAGCCCTGGAATAAAATCAGCTCAGCTCACCTCACCCTTCCAGTTTGCTTGTCGAATTCAAATTCTTGGTACCTACCCGGAAACCCAGCATGAGTGCACAACATCTCAATCTGGGGTGGCAACTACCGAAAAACACGCGGTATAATGAAGCTATTGACTCTCTGCATATCCCAAGCAAAGCACTACGCAGCTAGCTACATGTGCCATGCGCGAATCACGAGTTCAAAAATGATATGATATGATACTTGTTCGAGACCGCTTTTCCCAGGTGACATACGCTGCGCGAATATTTCATACTACCTACCTACGTAAGGTAACCTGCAATTGACCAATGGATAAGGTAACCACCCCGCCGGCGCGTTCGATCCGGGGGATCGGTCGGGGGAGGCTAAAAATATGTGAGACATGAACGAACGCTATTACTTTGACTTGACTTGACCGCCCACCTAGACCGACGGCAACTCCAGAGAGTTAAGGTAGGTTAGGTATGCAACTTCAACGTCAACGAACGGTAAAAGAGAAGCATGAATTCAATAGCATCGCTCGTTAGTCGCTGGATACTCTGGCCCGTGATCAAACAAACGCAGGCGCAAACGTAAATGCTACACCGCCAGACTCTTGCCTCTCCGCAGACCTGCCGCTGGTATCGATCCCCTCACCCGGACTCAGACTCGAACCCGACTACGACCCGACTCGTCATCAACCCGCTAGCCTCTTCTCATTCACACGCAACTCAACACTCACCGCGGCACTTCCCTCCCTCCAACCGTGCAATCCAAACCCGAATCTTATGATACCGGTGTGCGCTGCTCGGATGTACTGATTGCCGGTGAATAAATGGGGATCCGGTATGAAAGATCAGTTCAAGAACGATATTTGGGAATGGTTCAAGCTACCGCAGCAAAAAGTGCTCGGGCATCAGGAGAGGTGGTAGGCTCATATTGAGCTGGTCAACCTACCATAGCCATCACAGTCCTTCTTTCTCCACATGATAGTCTCTGCTTACCAGGGAGGCACATCGCCGCCCATCGATATAGGCTGGAAGCAAAGGTCAAAGTTTCAAGTTAGGTATATGTAGGTACATGTAGGTACATTGGTTCTTTTGGTCTTCCAATTATAACAAGTTCTAACAAATAGGGTAACCACGACGAGTGGAAATCGCATGTCTTGTCAATGCGAGATTGTTGTGAATTAAATTACCTATAACTCCTAGCGCTTCGTTATTATCTCGCGAACAATCCTTGAGTACTACCTATCAAGAGCTTGAGATTGACACTACAAAAAAAGTTAGCAAGCCACTCATACCACAATCACACATCCAAGTCGCAACACAACATACCATCTGGTAATAAATCCCCTTCTTGCGCAACAGCGCCGCATGGTCTCCCTTCTCCATCACCTTCCCGTCGCCAAGGACAAAAATAACGTCAGCGTTCTGCACCGTGGCCAGCCTGTGCGCGACAACAACCATGGTACGGTTCTTCTTATTCTTCTCAAACACAGCCTGCACCGCCTTCTCCGTCTCGGCGTCCAGGTTCGACGTGGCCTCGTCCAGGAGCAGCAGCCGTGGGTTGCGGATCAGCGCCCGCGCGATCGCCAGCCGCT